CGAGAGGACGAGAAGAGAGAGAGAGATAGAGAGAGAGAGAGAGCGAAAGAGAAAGAGAGAGAGAGCGCGCGCGAGAGAGCGAAATAGAAAGAGAAAGGGAGAGAGCGATACAGACAGAGAGACAGACAGACAGACAGACAGACAGACAGACAGACAGAGAGAGAGAGGAGAGAGAGGGGAGAGAGAGGAGAGAGGAGAGAGAGAGAGAGGAGAGAGAGAGAAAGAGAGAGAGAGAGCGAGGCAAAGAAAAAGAGAGAGTGACAGAAAATAGGGAGAGAGCGCGAGACAGATAGGTGGAAGAGAGAATTGGCAAAGTCGAAATGCAACATCGTCGCTGTGTCGCGTGCTTCGGCTAAGTGTTTTAGTAAGTGTTCGACAACTAGATCGATATCTATTTTAATTGCTAGGTAAATTCTTTAATATCTACATTGTAGAGTTCTTACTCAACGCTTCATCGCTGGCAGCGCAGCCGCGAATTTCTTCACGTATGCGATAGTAATTAACAAAGCTGATCATCTTAGATTAATTATATATATAAACTAGAGCACTCGGAAGCACAGACCTCCGCCAAGGCAGCTGAATTATCTCAATGTGAAATTTTTTATTAATTAATTGGATCCGATTAGTGCGAGCGTGCAGGTGGGGGAGGAGACTGTGGTTGCCCCTTAGCTGTGGTTGCGTGTTTGTAAGTCTACAGCCAGCGCACCTAGCGGAAGTGAACTGAAACTGTGCATGGTAACCACACAACACACAACCAACACTCAAAAACTCGCGGTGAAAACATAACCCCCGCCATGCCCCTGGCGGAGGTAATTAATTTACACAGTTTACGATGCTATCATGTGACTTTTCGTCATTCGTGCGGTTTGCGCGTTTTAACCTAAATCTTTCTCTTTCTCGATTATTGCTGAAATGAGGTTATTATTTGTGTTCAGGGCGAACACAAGTTTTTGAGAATGAGTTTTCTCAACTTAGCAGTGATTGCCTTTGCTCTTTGTAGCGACGGTAAGTGCTGCCCTCTATTATCCAGGCCATTCAATTTATTTGTTTTGTTGCCTGCGGTTTATATTTTAAAACGGATTAGAAATGATAACAACTAGGTTATGCACTGCACCGAAGAGAAATGTTGAATCATCAATCCATTGTTATTCGAACATTTTGAATATGATTGAAATATTGGTGCGATAAGATTGTATAACGACAACGTTTCACGCTACTGAACGAAAGTTTCCGTCTTTACCCCTCCACTTGGCAACGCCGTGTGCGTGTGCGTGTGCGTGTGCGTGTGCGTGTGCGTGTGCGTGTGCGCGTGCGCGTGTGTGTTCGTTCGTGCATGTGTGTGTGTGTGTTCCTATCTCTGCTTCTCTCACACTCTCTTTCTTTTTTTTACTTATCTCTCTTTTTGTCGTGTCGCCATGTCTGTCTGTTTGTTCAGCTACAACGCCCCTATATGTCTATTCGTCCATCTATCCGCCCGTCCGCTTTTCCCTATGACCGTCTGTGTGACTTTCTTTCTGTCTCTTTGCCTTGCTGGTTGTCTGTCTAATTTTCTGTCCGTCAGCGTGCTTTGCTGTTGAACACAGTTGCATGATTAATTCGTTTGATATATTTCCAGGTTCAGTCAAGTGGATATGGCCACCATGAGCGTATTAGTAACCCATACAGCTACCACCAGTCCGTACGAATAAAGAGTCATGATAAGGGGACGTCACATATTCATGCATATCCAATCTACGATGACTACGGATATGGCGGATATGGTGGATATGGGGGAAGATATGGCGGCTACGGCGGCGGCTACGGTGGCGGTCACGGCGGCGGCGGCTATGGCGGCGGCTATGGCGGCGGCTATGGTGGATATGGCAACAGAGGATATGGCAATTCCGGCTACGGCAACTCTGGATATGGCAACAGTGGATATGGCAACTCTGGCTACGGCAACTCTGGATATGGCAACAGTGGATATGGCAATGTAAACACGGGTTATGGAGGCGTTAACAGAGGCAATTCTGGATACGGAAATGTTAACGCGGGTTACGGAGGTACAGCTGGCAACACCGGTTATGGCAATTCCAACACAGGATATGGCAATTCCAACACAGGATATGGCAATTCCAACAGTGGTTATGGCAATTCCAACATAGGTTATGGTAGCACAAACACTGGCAACACAGGTTATAACAGAGCGGGTGATGCTGGTTACGGTAACACCGGCAACACTGGTTACAACAATATTGGCAACACTGTATATAGCAACACCGGCAACACTGGTTACGGTAACAACGGCAACACTGGATACAATAACATTGGCAACACTGGTTACAGCAACATTGGCAACACTGGTTACAGCAACAACGGCAACACTGGATACAATTAACACACAAACACACAAACCAACACTCAAAAACTCGCCGGTGAAAACATAACCCCCGCCATGCCCCTGGCGGAGGTAATTAATTTTACCAGTTTACGATGCTATTCATGTGACTTTTCGTCATATCGTGCGGTTTGCGCGTTTTAACCTAAATCTTTCTCTTTCTCGATTATTGCTGAAAATGAGGTTATTATTTGTGTTTCAGGGCGAACACAAGTTTTGAGAATGGGTTTTCTCAACTTAGCAGTGATTGCCTTTGCTCTTGTAGCGACGGTAAGTGCTGCCCTCTATTTCCAGGCCATTCAATTTATTTGTTTTGTTGCCTGCGGTTTATATTTTAAAACGGATTAGAAATGATAAACAAACTAGGTCAGATGCACCGAAGAGAGACGTTGAATAATCAATTCACTGTTATTCGAACATGCTGAATATGATTGCAATATTGGTGCGATAAGATTGGTATAACGACAACGTTCACCACTGAACAAAGTTTCCGTCTTTCCCCTCCTTGGCACCCCCTCCCTCACTTAAGCCCATACGTTCCCCGCTCTTCCCCCCCTCTCTCTCTCTCTCTCTCTCTCTCCCTCTCTCGCGCGCGCGCTCTCTCTCTCTCTCTCTCTCTCTTCCTCGCTCCCTTTCTCCCTCTCTCTCGCGTTCTCTCACGTGTGTGTGTATCTATCTCTGCCTCTCTTTCACTCTTTTGCCATTTACCCTCATCCTTCCTATTTTGCCGAGTAGCCATGTCCGTCTGTTTGTTCATCTACGACTCCCCTATATGTCTATTATCCACCCACCGCCCGTCCGCTTTTCCCTATGACCCTCTGTGTGACTTTCTTTCTGTCTCATTGCCTGGCTATTTGTCTGTCTAATTTTCTGTCCGTCAGCGTGCTTTGCTGTTGAACACAGTTGCATGATTAATTCGTGTGATATATTTCCAGGTTCAGTCAAGTGGATATGGCCACCATGAGCGTATTAGTAACCCATACAGCTACCACCAGACCATAAGGATAAAGAGTCATGATAAGGGGACGTTACATATCCATGCATATCCAATCTATGATGACTACGGTGGCGGATATGGAGGATATGGGGGAGGATATGGCGGTCACGGTGGCTATGGAGGCAACCATTATAGAGGCGGTGGCTACGGAGGCGGCTACGGAGGCAGCAGCCATGGCAACAGTGGCTACAGTGGCAATAGCCATGGCAACAATGGCTACGGAGGCAGCAGCCATGGCAACAGTGGCTACGGAGGCAGCAGCCATGGCAGCAGTGGTCATGGAGGCAGCAGCCATGGCAACAGTGGTTATGGAAGCAGCAGCCATGGCAACAGTGGTCATGGAGGCAATAGCCATGGTAACAGTGGTTATGGAGGCAGCAGCCATGGCAACAGTGGCTACGGAGGCAACAGCCATGTCAACAGTGGTTATAGAGGCAACAGCCATGGTAACAGTGGTTATGGAGGCAGCAGCCATGGTAACAGTGGTTATGGAAGCAGCAGCCATGGCAACAGTGGTTATGGAGGCAGCAGCCATGGCAACAGTGGTTACGGAGGCAACAGCCACGGAAGCGGCGGATATGGCGGCGGCGGATATGGCGGCGGTTACGGCGGTGGCTACGGTGGTGGTTATGGCGGAGGCTTTGACGGCGGTTATGGTGGATATGGCAACAGAGGATATAGCAGCTCTGGCTACGGCAACTCTGGATATGTCAACAGTGGATATGGCAATGTGAACACGGGTTATGGAGGCATTAACAGAGGCAATTCTGGATACGGAAATGTTAACGCAGGTTACGGAGGTACAACTGGCAATACTGGTTATGGCAATTCCAACACAGGTTATGGCAATTCCAACATAGGTTATGGTAGCACAAACACTGGCAACACAGGTTATAACAGAGCGGGTGATGCTGGTTACGGATACGTTTAACACCGGCAACACTGGTTACAACAATATTGGCAACACTGGTTACAGCAACATTGGCAACACTGGTTACAGCAACAACGGCAACACTGGTTACAGCAACATTGGAACACTGTAATAGCAACACGGCAACACTGGCTTACGGTAACACCGAACACTGTTCAGTATCACCGCGCAAACACTGGGTTACGGCAACAGCCGGCAACACTGGTTACGCAACACGGCACACTGGTTACAGTAACACCGGCAACACTGGTTAAGCAGTAACACCGGCAACACTGGTTACAGTAACACCGGCAACACTGGACACTAAGTTCACTAAATAAACTACTAACAAACTCAACCCAACGTGCGAGTATCGAATATGGGTTTCTATGAAATTCCACGTAGATATCCAATTGTTAATATTATGGTATATATAGTTAATTTCAAGACATCATAAAAGTTTACGAATTAGTATTCTGAATTTTGTAATGATGATTGTTGAGGTAAAACTAGAGGGGACTGCATTAATAGTTTTAAAGTTGATAATGTATAAAT